TGGTAAAGTGAGAATTGCGTAGTTGAATTTGATTTTATTGACAGGGAGAAGGAAAGATACCTTACCTACAGTTCTGTAATGTTAAACCTTTTGGAGTTCAACTCAAATTTATATGAAAGATCCCTTTTCTGGCATCTGTAAGAAGTAGTTGGGCATAGATTGCATCTATGAATCTGATAATTAGATCAGTTGAAGGTACAGGCAATTCAACAGGAAAAATAGTTCTACTTGCTTCATTTTTTGTGTTACTATCAGTCAGGCTGTTATGCTTGCCTACAATTTGCATACTAAGAAGTGAATAAGTTGGTGACCACGTACATTCCTGTCTTTGACTGGAAAAAGTCCTTAGTTCAGACTAATTCATATACACTGTCAGTGTCACTGTGCCACTACCCTACTTTTATATTAAAAGCAGTAGCTAACTTCATGCTATTAACAAACTATGCTCTCATTCATAGCTAATGTACGCATTTTGTCTATATACTGGACTACAGTACTGGATACTGTTTCGTTAGGAAAATCCTGTCAGTTCTTTTCAGTATAGGTCAGTAAATATCCTTTGATGTGTGTGAAAGTTACAGTTAAGTCTGTTAGGTCTTTGCAAAGCCATAATAGAGCAAAGACAGAAAAATCACGCGGTTCTAATAGCAAGCAAGAAGGCCTGAGAGATCATAAAAACTGACAAGACATTTTAAAATGAATGTTTTCAAAGCTTTTCTTCACAGAAGACACAGGTCTTTGTCTAGCCTGGTTCATTGCTGATGCTTGTACTGTTCTGCAGAAATCTGCAGTACTGCTTAGATAAACTAACCTGAAGCATCAGATTTAGCCTCTGGTGATTGAACGCAACTGTGGCCACAAAGGTTTGACTGGGCCCAAGGAGAAGCATGGGGAGAGCACTGAAGCCAGCGTTACTTCTAAGGCACCTGGTTTGGAGTCGCAGCCTCACGGAAGCGGTGGTACTTCAAAATGGCTTTTCTGTGTTGATTCTAGCACCGATGTGTGAACAACCTGTACCTGGAGAATTTTGGAGCATCACGAATTGTTGGAGCTGGGTGCTATGTAAGAAATATGTAAGAAATAGTAGCTTTCTGAAGGATGCCTGAGAGAACTTCCATAGGGCTTTTTTTTTTTTTCTTTAAAAAACAAGAAAGAAATTTTCCTCACTTTTTTCCTCTGTCAGGCATGAAGGCAAATCACAGCACCTGTTTGGGTGTCAGAAGTCTAGTCAGAGGCTAGTAGAATCAGGAATAATGGTATTGGAATATAAAATTCATCTAGCCTTTAGCCTTGCTCAGTCCTGACTCCGAAGTCTCCTGCTGCGACTGCTATCTTGATTGCATCACTGTACTACACAATCTGCTTAATTCCTTACGGAGCATAGAGACATGCTGTAAGCCCACTGTCAGTGTTGATGCCTAAACTTAAAAGTAGCAGAGGAGCCTTGATAATGCAGCGTAGGAATCTCCCTATGACATTCTAGTTCTCTTCCTGAGACAGGTAACCTCTCAGGCACTAGCAAACAGCAAATTGACAAGCATTAGCAACTGGACTGCCTTGAGGTCATAGAGCGTGCTTTCCCCACAAAAGTTCCATCACGTTTAAGTTCATTTTTGGAAGTAAAGATGAGAACTTTTCTCCTGGTCAGGAAAGAGTACCAGAGAGCCATGGGTTGAACGTACTTGGAACTGTTTGAAAGCCACCTGTGTACACTTAACCACACTTTGTTCTGGTATATTAGTCTGAGCAAAAATAGAAAGCAGAGCAAGGTTTTAGCTCTGGGTAAGCTAACCTACAACAAAAGGTATTTTTGGGGTAATCTGAAGATCAGAACTCACCCACACGTCTTTTCCTTGCTCAAACTTCCTAATTTGCATGCATATGGGATTTGAAGCAGTTTGAGTCCTTCCCTGGATTGCTGACATTGCTAAAATATACTTCTCTGCGCTTCAGAGGCTGCACTATTATCATGCTGAGAACAAGGTTCAGGGGAATTAAATCATCTTTTGAGGTGAGATTCATTTCTTAAAGTCAGGCATACTTGAAAAGAATAGAAGAAAAAAAAAAAAAAAACAACCCACATAATGCTGAGCTATAAACTGCTGAACTTTACACTGATACGTTTCATACTTTACCCAAACAGTGGATAAAATAGGACTGCAACCATCTAAGGAATGAGGCAGCAAACAAAACATTTCTGGCCAAGTGGAAAGGAGAGACTTTCTTCAATCAGTGGTGCCTATACTCTACCTATGTTTGTTGGTGGAAGTGGAGGCACTTCACATTCATCTGGGACATGACAAGTATGCTTCTGAAGAGAGTCGGAGGGAGGAGATACCTCAATTACAGTTTGCCATATGATTTTCCATCCTAAAGAACTGCCAGCAGCTGTCAACACACAGGCTCACTTACAGAGCTATAGCAGAGGCTGAGTTGGCAACCTTAAGTCATGCAGCATGGGAGCTCAGTTATCCTGAAGGTGGCACACAGGTGAATTTTCCTTTCCAAGGGAAGAAGTATCAGGAGGAGAGCCCCTGTATAGCACAAGATCACCATGGTCCCGTTCTGTACAGCCCCTCAGATTTCTCTAGAAAATACTCTGCATTTTTTTTTTCTTACTTGTGAGGGACACGTCTGGCAGATTAAGTCAAGTCAGGCACCAGACTTACTAACAAACAAAACCCAAATTACCGCTTGAGGTACTTGCAGGATGAAAAATGGTTTGATGTGCAAAGATTTTTGAAGTGCAATACAAAATGAGAAGATGGTGATGCTGGAGTTCTTTTGGTCCTATTCATCTTTCCTGCACAGGGAAAAATACAACAAATAAGGGAAATTAGAAACCACCAGGAAACAGCAGGTAAGAAGTCAAAGGAGCTGCAGGAAGAAAGAAAGGAATGGCAGTTATTCTCCCTTAAGTCCTCATTCTTACCACCCTCAATGCTGGAAGAGGTACAATTGACAAGAACACCAGGTGGACATGTACCTGTTTCATACAGCAGTGTGGAGCACATTATCAGTACCTAAACTTAAGCTCATGCAGATTACGAGCCTCACATTTGCAGGCCCTGGTCCTCATGGGTGACTTCAACCACCCTGATACGTCCTCAAGGGACAGGACAGAGAAAAGAAGGCTCAGGGGGAATCTCATCAATGTACATAAATACCTGGAGGGAGGG